TTTTTTTTTTTTTTTTTTCCCACAATGTGACACTTATCTGGGGTGTGGAAATTAAAACGGCAAGCGAGCGAACGCAGGGGTTGGGAGTTCCCGTGGGAGAAAGTCTCAAAGCAGGAAGGCATGTCTTTAAGGAATGGTTTGTTAGCTTTGGTGAGGAGTACACCTAGATGCAGCAGTAAATGGCGGCACGCACTGCACAGTGGTGTATCAGTGCATGTGCACACGGGGCTATGTAGGCAGGTAGAGCCCTTAGCAATGTGCCTTTTTTTTTTTTTTTTCCTTTCTTTTTTGTGTACTTTTTTTCTCTCCTCTGCTTTCGTTTTTTTTTTTTTTTTTTTTTTTTTTATAATCCCCTGCACATTGACACGCTTTTGTAAGGGTATCTTTCCTTTTTCTGTGCGATTAACAATTGAACCCACAAAAAGCCACATCGACAAATACCCTCTCTCAACTCTTTTATTATTTTTACCTGAGCCCGAACACATTTTCTGCATGAAGAGACACTCTGTCGCGTTACTCTCGAAAAACGATTCTCGTACTCCTGTTCAAAGCATTCTTCATATGTGCACGTAAGTAAAATACGGGAGGACTGGTACCCTACACAAGTGTATTCTTTCAAGTATCTTACCCATATACGTCCTCATGCACTTATCTTTTTTGCATTTGCACAAGCATCAACCTACGCACATGCACATGGTGTTTTGTTCTTTTTTGCCCCCTGTTTCTTCTCCCTCCGATAGGTCTTTTTAAAGATACGGGTTCGCACCCCCTCACGTACGTGCGCATCTGGCCAAGTGGGTGCGTATCCGCTAGTGCACGCATACGTTCGGGGACAGAAGCCCCTACGTTACGAGGAAGAAGCAAAAAGGGGGGAACTCCAAAGGGAGCGCAAAAAAGTGTGAGGTCGTTTGACCATTAACCATTAAGAAGTAAAAAAAAAAAAAAAAAAAAAAAATTCAAACCATTATTTTCTATTTTTCTATTTCTTCCCTCACCACGCCACTAACTTTTTTATGCAAACATTTTCCCCTTCTCACTTTGTTCCTTTTGACTCCATAAATAATTTCTCCCTGTGCTTTTCCTTTTCTTTCTTTTTCTCACCTAGATACTTTCTACACCTGTTAAGAAGTAAGCCTGTGCGAAATACCCATGCGTGAAAAGGAAAAAAAAAAAAACGATCATTCTTTCCACACACACGCTGCGTGGTACATAAGAGCCAGTGCGACAGTGCGGTACCTACCCAAGCACACAGCATCGCCATGTAAAATGCGTTATATATGCCTCCCCCCCCCTTTTTGCAGTTTTAACTCCACGTGTTTTTCTACCCCTCCCGAAAGCCCCTTTCAAATTACACGTTTAACTTGCCCGCGCTCAAAAAACCTCCTAAGTTGTAGCTGCCCATCAGCTTGTGCCCATCATTTTCGCAAAGGAGAAATAGGTAGACCCGCACACGCGCACACCCACACACGTTTACACCCGCACACGTTTACACCCGCACACGTTTACACCCGCACACGTTTACACCCGCACAGCGGCGGCGAGTCATGAGCGGTGTAAACGTGGAGTATCGAACCGGCACGACAGCAGAGTGCACACATTGTATTACACATTAAGGGTATAAGCCCCCCCCCCGCTTTACACGTTGTTTTGTATTACTCTCTTTTTTTTTTTTCCAAAGTGGCGACCGAAGATGAGTTCCCCGAAGGAAAGCAAGAAACGCAAATCAGACGCATTGGACCAGGCGTGCCTGGAGCTGAGTGAGGAAGTAGAAAACGCGGAAGAATTCACAAAGAAAAGTGAAGAAGTAGAAGAAGAAGATCTTGAAACCCAATTCAACAACTGGAAGGTGAACAGTGGATTACTCTACGACTTTGTAAGTAGAAAGGAATTGGAGTGGCCCTCATTATCTATTGACTTTGGTGATTATCACAACGAGAACCATGAAGATAATGTGTTTAATCAAATAGTATGCGTTGGAACACACACGTCTAATAAAGAGCCGAACTACCTGTACGTGTGTGATGTGTTATTCCCACTGGTGCAATTACCACAAGAGAATTGTATTTACAAAACAAATGAAAATTACGAAGGATTTGATTTCTGTTCAGATAAAAAAAAATTTACCATTCAATCGAAAATAGCACATGAAGGAGAAGTCAATCGAATCAAATTCCTTCCCCTTGAAAAAAAAAATTTTGTTATGACCAAGGCAGTTGATGGTAATCTTCACCTATTTGATATTAACAAACACAAAATTGAAACAAGTGAAAATAAAATGAACCCAGAAGTGTCTTTCGTGGGAAATGCTTCAGATGGATTCGGTTTAGATTTTAATGCAGAAAAAAAATATGCACTGACTTGTGGAAATGATGGTATAATAAATCTTTACGACTATACAGATTTAAATACTAAAAAAGTTAGTCCTTTTTATAAGGTAAAATATAAATCTCCATTGAATGATGTGTGTGCAACCAATGACCCCAATTTAATTTTGGCTTGTGCTGATAATGGGTACATATTACTATACGACATCCGAGTCAAGGCAGAAGAACCCGCACAACAGGTTCTAGGCCAACAGGTAGCTGTTAATTGTATCTCGTTAAATAAATTCACAGGACATTTTGCATCTGGAAGTGACAATGGAAAAATTAAAATATGGGATATTAAAAGGTTTAGTGAACCCCAACATATAATTCATGCACATAAGGAACCCATTATCCGATTGAACTTTTCTCCTAATGATTCTTCCATCCTCGCTTCTGCTAGCACCAGTCGTTTTATAAACATTTATAATTTAACGAAAATTGGAGAAGAGTTAGATGCAATTGATTTGTCGGATGGTCCATCTGAGTTGATTTTCTCTCATGGAGGACATACGCAACCGATTACCGACTTCAACTGGAACCACCACAAACAGCTAAAGATGTTTATAGGCTCCACTGGCGAAGACAACACGTTGCAGTTCTGGCAACTCAAGACGGAGCTCCTCGACGAGGCCAACACCGTTCCCACGTCCAATACCGATGTCGAGTGAGAGGTGCGGTCAGGCGTATGCGTATGCGTGTAAAAGCTTTTTTTTTTTTTCTACCACTTGGCAAATATGCCCACACAGAGAAGAAGTGCCAAGAACAAATCTGTTGGCCTCTTCTATTTTATTATTTTTTTTTTTTGAGGCGATCCATCGGTTAGAGAGATGAAGGGGGGGGGTCTGTGCTGTCGCCTCAACTTTCATATCC